TCTGGAGTACCTGGCGGCATCGAAGCCGGCTCGCGATGAGTTACAGATGATCACGCGCAAGACTCGCATACCTCTATCAGAGGAGGGTCAAGGGGCCCCTAAGGCGGAAGCTTCTACAGTAGCAGTGACGGGGGTGACTGCCAGAGCGGATCGCATGGCAACAGTCCTTCTCGATGGAATGGAAGGTGTGCCTCCAGACAAATTTTATATACTTGGTAGTGGGGCAGTGGAGACGATTATAAATGATGGAGCGATACTTGATGCTGTGATCGATAACTGCAGTGAGGCTGTTATCATAGACGACGACATGGCAGTGCAGGTTGGGCTGGGCCTCGATAGGTCGTATCTATTCGAGATAGAGACGGTTGATGGTAGAAAGCAACAGATCACAGGGGTTTGTCACAAGGCAGCCATAGAGGTCCAAGGGGTACGAGTGACCCTGCCTGTCTTTGCAGTCAAGAACTGCAGCTCTGACCTGCTCTTGGGACGGACGTGGCTGAGCCACGTGCATGCGGTAACGATAGAGCGACCTGACGGGAGCCAGACATTGTCCATTAAGAAGCCAGACGGGACACGCGTAATGATGGAGACAGTGGAACCTCGGGACCCGAGGAACAGAGCAGCTCTCGCTGTGGGAGTGAGACCCAGTGATCAGGTTTGGTCGTTACCTATCTCCAGCCGTGCGGTGCGATTTCGAGAGAAGGAGTATGGACCACTGCTTACAGAGGAAGAAGGCCGAGTGGTCGAGATAGAAGATTTAGGGAGTCGGTTAATAGTAGACGGCAACTCGTACCCGAAGGGAGAAGATGAGGAATTAGGCGGTGTAGTATCCTTGTCTTTTTTAAGGGCACGGCCCCCTACGGGGGGCCGCCTAAGCGACACAAGCGGGTAACTCAGAAGGTTAAGCCAGCGGCAGTGGGCCGCGAGCGATCTCCTCTAGAAGGGATATTGGAGATCGCGAGAGAGATCAAAGAAAGAAAGAGAAAGGAGCCACAACGCCTGACGCAAGATAGGATAGCAGGGATGGACATCGGAGATAGAAATCTGACCGCGTAAGAACGAGAACGAGTGATAGAGATTCTGAAAACATGTGATAAGGCAATAACTTTCAGCGACGCGGAGCGGGGTAGGGTTGACCCTCGCTACGCGAAGCTTCCAAGGATTTATACCGTACCACATGTTCCCTGGAATGACGCGGGATGGAAGTATGCCCAGAAGGAGAAAGAGGAAGTTATTGCTTTCCTGAAAGAAAAGATGGTTTCCCATGTCGCGGAACCGTCTGATAGCGCGTATGCTAATCGATGGTTCTTCTTACGGAAGCCGAATGACAAGATCCGATGGATACAGGACCTTCAGAAGGTCAACGCGGTGACAATACGAGATGTGGGCTCGGTGCCACACGCCGATTTGTTAGCAGAAGGCGCCGCAGGTAGGTCGATCTATTCGGTCTGCGATCTGTTCTCAGGATATGATGAGGTACCGCTTGACCCTAGAGACAGACACCTCACGACCATGCACAAGCCATTGGGACTAATACAAATGATGGTTGTCCCTATGAGGTGGACAAATGGGGTAGCTGTCTTTCAGAGAGCTATGGTAGCCGTCCTCAAGGACTTCATCCCTGATAAGGTTGAAGTTTTTCTGGATGACTTCCCTATAAAAGGGCCAGTAGACAGGGATGAGACGGAGGTCGTACCTGGAGTCAGGAGATTCGTTGAGCAGCATCTAACAAATATTTCCGCGGTGATCGAGCAGCTGGACGATGCCAATTTAACAGTTAGCGGAACAAAGAGCCGATGGGCCGTTTCAACTATAAAVATCTTGGGGTTTATATGTGACTCGAGAGGGCGCCGAGCAGACCCDGCAAAGCTAGACAAACTTCTGAACTGGCCGTCGCCGCTACATAGCCCAACCGAGGTCCGGCAGTTTCTAGGAGTAGTCGGATACTGGCGAATATTCATACGGGGATATGCGGAGAAGGCTGAGCTCTTGAGGTTACTCCTTCGAAAGACTGAAAGATTCTACTGGGATTTTTCGCAGGAACTCGCGATGCAAGAACTTAAAGACGAATTTAAGGAGGGAGGACGCGTGTTGGGCGTGCCATTCTTTGACGACGGGACCGAGAGACCCTTCATAGTATCCACGAATGCTGGACCATGTTCAGTGGGAGGTTTACTGTCTCAGAAGGACGCAGGAGGGAAGGAAAGACCGTTAGGATTCGAGAGTAGGACACTTAATACGACTGAGCGTAACTACAGTCAATTCAAGAAGGAGGTGTTAGCTGTTCTACGGTGTCTGGATACGTTCAGGCACTATATTTATGGGCGACGGTTCATCTTAAGAGTAGATCCTACCGCAGTCGCCTCAGTCCTTCAGAAAGACTTTAGTCTGACAGACCCGACCATCGCCCGATGGCTGATACGGATTCGGCTATACGATTACACAGTGGAAAGGATATCTGGCACTAAAAATGCCGTGGCAGATGGACTTTCGCGGATCCCTCTTGAGGCTGAGCGCCCGATAGTAGCTGGGGCCCTGACGTTGGCGGAACCCAGACGCGCCGAGAGATTTCTGGTTAACCTATACGAGGGCAAGTACCGAGCGATCGGGCTACACCTGACAGGAGAGRAGAGTCTAGATTCAGATATTCGGAAGCAAGCCGCCAAGTACTGCCTTAGAGAGGGCCACCTTTTTCGAAGACCGGTAGGATCGGGGATGCCCTTACGAGTGGTCTGTGATTCTGAGGAGAGACAGATGATAGTTGCGGAGCTTCACGACGGGGTAGTCGGAGGACATAGGGGAATCAAAGGGACCTACGAAAAGGTACGCAGGCTGTACTGGTGGGAAGGGCAGTATAAGGACGTCGAGAGGTACTGTATGACCTGCGAAGAATGCCAGAAGAGGGCTCATGTGAGGTATAAAGAGCCACTTCATCCATCCTATCCGACCAGGCCAGGAGAGAGGGTGCACATCGATCTAGTGAAGATGTCGAAAGGAGTAGGCAATATGAACTCCGTCGTGAATATACGAGACGATTTCACTGGGTTCGTGGACGGTAGACCTATCAGGAGTAAGGCAGCAAAGGAGGTAAAAGAACTTCGTCCTAATATACTTATCTAGGTATGGTTGTATCGGCAAGATAGTGATGGACAGAGGATCGGAATTCCTGGCTGACGAGGTTCAGGAAGTGTTCAAGAGAGTTGGGGCGAGAGTTTCGATAGCCACCGCCTATCACCCACAGACGAACTCCCCAGTAGAGAGAGGACACCAGACTCTGATAGCGTCGCTGTCCAAGTGGTGCAAGGGTAAGGACAGTGATTGGCCACGATATTTTCGATATGCAATATGGGCGGACAACGTCACGGTCCGGGCTAGTACCGGATACCCACCCTACACTTTGTGGTTTGGGCGACATTGCCCGCTTCCCATAGAGTTTCACATCGACAGCTGGACAACCGTCGACTGGGCGGAGGAGATGTCCAGGGAGGAACTTATAGCCGCCCGAACGAGACAGATAGCCTATGGTTTGGAAGAGAACCTCATGACAGCGGCAGATCGCCTGGCAGTGGAAAGAGACAAAGGTAAAGAGAGATGGGATAAGAATGTGAGAATCAGGAAAGAGAGGGTGAGTGTAGGAGATATGGTCCTTCTCTACGATGCCGCGCTTGAAAGAACTTGGACCGGAAAACTCGCGAACAGATGGATGAGACCTTACAGAGTGGTTGAGGCACTCGACTGGGGTGCATATATGATAGCAGAGTTAGACGGGTCTAAGTGGAAGGACCCAGTGGCGGGTGCCAGGTTAAAGCTGTTTAGGCCCAGGCCCGGGGCCGCCTTGTCGCTAGCCGACCCGAAAGGGAAAGGAAAAGCCATAGTGGAGGATGGAGCCCCCTTGAGGCAATTCGAGGCAGGGGAGAGTTCCAAGAAGAGGAAAAGGGTGGAGAAAAGGAAGGTCAAAGGGTTAGCTCTAGAAAGAAAGAAGAAATGGTTATTCGTGCTCAGGAGGGCCAGACGGAGAGTTCGTATTAGACAAGCTGACGAGTCGGCATCCACAACGGGCCGACGTCGGAAGAGAGAACGAATCCTTTCCAGGCCAAATTTCCGAAGAAAAAGGGAAGTCCAGAAGCATCTTCTTAGCCCCAGGACTTATAACAAATTGAAACATAAGACAATTAAACGCCAGCGTGGGCGTCCTTTACGGGTCATCACCCTGAAGCTCATCCGCTTCGTCTGACGTAAGTGGGTAGGGTTCGACGGGGGCGTCGAGAAGTGGTCCGGGCTAACTGTCAGGCGGCCACAAGTAGTGCGCCGCCTGAAAATGGCGGTTTTGGGACTTAGGCTCAAGGGTGAGTCCGTGTTTTTACGGTACTTTGGTCTGACCGGGCAGCAAAAATTATGAGAACTCAGGGTGCCCCTGATTTTGGGCGCACTGGATTTTTTGAGTAACCCTCAAAGATGGGGAGATGGGTGGCTGCACTCGGCATGTCTAGGGACTGACATTTCCGACCGTTCAGAGGGTTAGACCCGGATTGGCCTGCCGCGGAGAGGCATCAAGGGAGTTGACCTCGCCGCAACGTTTCTGCCGCATACAAGCGGGGCTGTGATGAGGCCTTAAATTTTTGTCTATTTTAGTACCATAATTAAAGATGGGGAAGAGGGATTAAGACCAGTAAGGGAGAAGAGAAAAACATAATATTCCTTATTTCTTTATTTTTCACGGCATTTAATTCTAGGAGGAAAACCCTTGTTATTTTATGTAATCGACAATGAAATTCAAAACATGGGAAAAGATTAAAAATGGTAAAAGAGAAAAGAGACAAAAGGAATTCGGCCATTTATCCAAACTCTCTCGGAATTTAATTTTGGGGAATTTACGGTTAATTTACTGTTTCAGACAAYAGAATTGAGGAAAACGAAGAACGATTAAAAACGATGAAAGGGGACGGAAAYCCRTGACTATTGGGAGATCGGCCTAATTTCGGCTCGATTACCCGCCATCAGCTCAGAGCCCGGATTGAACATTTTCCCCGGATTTTAACAGTTTTCACTGCTGCCGATGGTCGAGGTTCGCTGCATTGCTTTCCCTGGTTTGCTTGATTACTAACATTACCGCGGTTGAGATATTCTGAGAGCAGGAGTCGCATGGACAGCATGGGGTGGTGCTGCCTTGGGTCGACTATGGTGTTTGGTTCGGTACGGATACGAGGGTTGTTACGGAGTAGCTGCGTCCTACCGTGCCTGATGTGCTTCAGGTACGGTATGGGCCCGGTAACAGCTGTCTCACTACGGTGACTTATTTTCAGGTTTGGGACAGCTGCGGTGATTTACTCCCAGGACCGGGGCCACTACGACAGTTATTCCAGGTTTGGAACCTTGGCGGMAATTAGTTTTCAGCTCCTGAAACGTAGCGGCATTCTATATCAGGTTCGGGACAGGTACGTAATTAACATGGCACGGTTATACGAGTTCGGCATCCCCGTGTGCCTTCACGACCCACTTGCAAGTCATTTCAGGAGGCAGAATAAAAGGGAAGGTTCGGTGCAGTGACGAGACATTATCCACAAAACGGTATTCGGCATCGGACTGGTGTGACGACGGYACAGRCTGTTGAAATTMAGGGTGRCAATTCAGGTTCGRCACGTTCTGCTTGGTRTTGACATGGGCCATAGCCGRCARGGCGCTATATTCTGTGACCATGGTTGCTGTTTCGGAGTTGGCTTARTACTTTCACTGGGACGGTGTCGGTACGGGCTACTTCTATTCGTTGTCGAGACGGCCGGAATGACCGCTAGTTCGGGCTGGCATGGCATTGCAGACTGGTTCTTGTTTGCAGGTTCGGAATTGGTAAGACTGCTGGGACAGGTACGGCCCAGGTATGGTGATGGTACAGGCCGCAATTTAACGCTACAAGGTTGACACGGTGTGAGTTTTCACAATTCTGGCACACTTATTCCTGGCCACAGACACTGAATTGACGACGRCACGACGCGGCCCSGRGGGKGGGGTRTTCCARTCTGCCTCTTTTSTTTTGATATGGACGGTGRTTCGACCTTGGCGTTGATCTGGTACCGGTGCAGCCACTGCAGTCCRGAGCTATTATGTTTCTGCAAGGTTGCTGGTTCRTARSTGAGAGGGGGCATTGAAGCCGATGCTGTTATCACATGGTACAGTACTTGATCCGGTCCGGGGGAAAATTCACTCGGACAGTGATCATGAAACTCATGGAACCGCTGGGCTCTTATCCAAGACTACCGGGTCAAGACTGCGGTACCAACGGGATTACTGCTGCTGGAGACAGGTACACCGGACCTGTAGGCCTTGTACCGCTGGAACCAATGGCACCATTCCGTCTCGAGCTGGGTACTGGAGAGTCAGGAGGGCAGTGAGCCTTACTGGTACCTGCAGTTAAGGCCGCGGAGATAGAAGAGCCAGGGGGGCGAGACAACCCGGGGAGGAATTGGAACGAGCGTGGACTAGCGTGCACGGCGTGCACAGAGGTAGAGCTCACTGGGAATGGTGCACGTTTCGTACGTGTGGGTGATGATCTATCGAAGATTGGATGCTAAGCGGGGAATGGTGTGGCAAGAGTTAAGAGCCACGGCAGACGGCGCTGGGGGGGGGCCCAGGAATGCGAACAAGGTGTACCTGCGTCCGACGTCGGGGCAGAAGCGTCCGCTCTCGGACGGCTACTCTGCGTGAGCGAGGGGAGTGGGAATCCACGAGGTGGATGAGCTAGTGTGGGTGATTGTTCACTTGAGGGAGATGGTGAGGCGCAGTGAGAACAGACGGGGGCAGAGGAAGTCGGGCTAGGCGATCACGGCCCTCTCCATATGAGAAGAGAAGGCAGCCGTGCGGAAGAGAGAGTTCCAGAGAAACAGTCTAACTAAGTTTCCCCGCTGGAGGCGGGAACAGCGGGCTTCAGTGATCTGACCCAATCGGTCCTCAA